AATAATAATAATCAGCATGGAAGTTATCACTCATTAATTTTTTCTGGGTTCTGGACTCTACTATTATTTTTAACCACCTTCTCAAAGAAAGAAATGAAGAGAAAATTCATTTGATTTGATTCACATTTGGATATGTGCAAATGTTAAATCTCACCAAGAAAGAATAAAAAAATGAATATATATATATATATATATATCTTGATGGAAATATGTTGAAAGAAATTGGAACACGAAATTATGTGAGTATTTTTTTTTATTTATTCAAATTGTATAAAAGACTTCTTATTCCATAATAAGGTAATAATCATCATCATCATCATATATCATATATCATTATCATGCGAGAATTATCAAATCTGATAATCGACAAACGAGACAATTTTTCACTAATGGTATAGGTCCATCCACATTATCGGTACCATGAATTGATGTTGGATGATGTTCATAGCATCGACGATACTCCTGAATTTCATCCACTTGTTTCAACCTCTCTGCTAAAGTCTCCCATAACTCATCCACATGTCGCCACGCAAATTTCAGAAGAAATCTCCTTAGAAAATAAATGTGATCTGCTGGCAACATGCTCATATCCTGTACCCAATTGAGGAAGTCAGTTCTTGGTTCTAAAGTAGAATGAAAATATTTTGTGAACCATTTCAAGAGTTTTCTACAATTTTCGAACGCACAGGTATAATTCTCAATGAGACTGTGCTTCTGGTGATTCCAGCAACTTGGGGTGAATAAGTCTTTTGCTTTCCAGCTCCCCAAATCGTTCAAGTCGATTACCATCTTATCAGTGTAAGATTGTAACCATTGCTTCTTCTGAAATCCGTTTACAAAGATAATAGTCACCCCTTTCGTGATCTGAGTAATTGTAGCTTGAACTGCATCATATGGAATAACTCCTGTTTCCCAGGCGATTCCATGATGATTGTTAATAATCCACTTATTCGTCCTCTGGTATTTCTTCGGCAGCTCATTCCATTCACATGGAGGCTGGAAAAGCAGGCAGGCACACTCATTCTTTCCAATCACTTGAACTGCCAGTTCTTTCACAATGAATTTGTCAATTGGGTGTTGGAATCCCTGCACATCAAGAATCAACATTATATTCACCCACTAAAACCTCACTGGTAGCTAATTCTCGATTGATGCTAAATCTGGTGGATCCTATCGGTTTTATAGTAACTCACCCCCACCCGGATATTAACCATCATAGAATATTCTTGAATACTCACGAATTTTCTCAAATATGACGTAATTTTTATTTTAAGATGTGAATGAGTCATAACTGTATTCGATTTCATACAAATTTCGACCGAGCGATCGTATTTCACTCAAGTCTCAACAGGAATTAAGAGATACCCCCACCATACGGATCAATCCCTGAATGATTCAGCGATTACGTTATTATTCTCGGAAATTCCATGACTCATCGATGACGTATTATTCTCGGAACTTCTGCGATAGTGGCGCCCTCACCCCCAACTCCACCCCTACCCCCACCCCCGCCCCCTTTCACCGCGACGGTGGCGCCCACTCTCAAGGTCAAATTGGTCCAGAATTGGCTTAGCTTACCTACTACCATTGATTGTCATGTGAAAATGACATGAAAAGTATGAAAACTTTTGAAATAAATTTTAATTGCCAAATGTTAGAAAACAAATCACTAGAGAGTTGAATAATAAGGTCCCCTTGAATTGAAGTTAATTATTCCCCAGTATTATCAATGGGAAAGTGTCTTGGCTGGAAACACAAGGCGTTAGTTTTAAGTAAAAGAATTTTAAATCTGAACAATTATATTCTGAAATTTTGGTGAGTTTACAATTATAATGATGGTCGTACAACTAACGTGAACTTCTTCTCGTTGTGCTTGTACAGGTTTGTCGTTTCCTAATTCTAAAGTTATTCGTTTACAATAACTTCGTTTCAATTACTTTGAATGAATGAATAATAATTGTTTGAGTTCCAAGATGTTAATTGAGTTCCGATATTTTCAGTTGGCAATATAAATTATCAAAGAATCATGAATGATTCTATTCATTGACAAAAAGTCGTAGAATATTTTAAATAAGTAAAGTTACGAAAAACTCTACATTTGATTGTTACTTCAAAATTACTTGGGTCCCCACTTTAGGACTGAATGAATTTATCTAACTCAGAGAACGGGCGTCTCTGCTAATTCTAAACTTGTGACTATCGCACTTGTAGAATCGATGAAAGTAGCCAACTGAAGGGTTGATGAAGAACTGGAACATGTAGTGGAACTGACTTTTTTCGCGTCGCGGCTCCCTTTTTATATTGAATCGAAAGTGTGTCATCAGGGGTGGAAGGTTCTAGAAGCTTCCCCCTGTTCTTACCATTTTCTGCAGGTATGCGCCTAATTATTGGATTTCTTTGGATATTATTCGGGGATTGGTGGTGACGTTTCTCCTATCCTTTCATGGAGCTCCTTGATTGGTGATCGGGTGACATTAGACCTCCTCATTTTCCGTTTGGACTTGCGTGGTTTTTCCAAATTTTGTGAAGGGAATAATCAACCATCTGCTTCCCCTAATTGACGTATCATGACATGTGGTTATTTTTTGGCGTTTTTCCCCTAATTGAGTCATAGAATCACACTTCCACTATATGGTCACTGTCCAGCTTAATCACCCGCCAAACCTCTTAAATGGTGAGGTTCCGGGTTAGCCACAAAACGTAGGTTTCACCCCATTCACATTCTCATACATTTTCAGAGGTGTTATTGATTTTTCTATTGCCAACCGGTAATGAGATTCACAGACATCTCATGCCTTTCTAATTTGTTAAATTGTAATATTTGATAGTTTCCACAATTTTAAAACACGAAAATATTAATTCATTCATTCGTGATTTAATTCTACATGGATAATTTTTATGGGCGTCGTCTCTACATTTGATTGGGTTACCCTTTCCAATATATTATTCCACCTTCTCTATTCCTACAAGGAACCTTTGGGATCTTCGCATTTGTCTCTCTTTACAGATATGCGTTCATCAAAATTATGAAATAATGGTTATTCCATAGAGAAAATTATTTAGGAAAAATGGATTATAAGGTATTTTTCGACGGATATCACATTTGGTTGCTTTTTTACAATTTTTCAATTGAAATGGACATTCTGGCGTCCGCGTCAATGAATCATTTTTGCGCTGAAACTTTGAGAGCGCCTACCACTCAAAAATTAATGATAGAAATATGCCGTCATGGAATTTTTTTCAGAGAATTTTATCCTCTACAAATTAAGCCTTATACATTTTTCTCGTAGCTGTGACGGTTTTGGCAGCGGAAGACGAGAAACAGCGTGGGGCGTTCGCATTTTGCAGTTTTTCAATTTTTTGAAAAATTTGCCTTAGTGCTAGCGTTCCGTAAACTTAGCATAGTATTATTGATATAATTTCCTATCAAATGCAATTTTTTTGTTCAGTTTTGAAAATTGTTCGATTTGAGGCCAAAAAAATTCGTTATTAGACTGGACGACTTTTGTCGCCTGATGATATAATGTACTATTAACAGTACAGGACGTATGAATGCGTACGTACGCCCTACACTATTAATATAATATGTACACACGAAATGTGCGTGTGTTGACGTAAAAACGTGCCCAGTAGACTCAAAAATGCGGCTTTGCGAATTTATCAGTTTACAGATTCTAAAAATATTTTCGAATAATTTTTTACGTCAAAAGAGTTCTAGAGATCTATTAAGAGATTTCCCATAAATCACATGCGAACCCCATTACTTGACCATCTATAAGGTGAAAGTAGTTTTGATTCGTACGTTAAGTGTCGGAGTGGGGACGGCCAATCCTTATGGCGGGCCTCTAGAGTCGTCAAAAGTCTAATTCAGCTCCGAGGTTTAAATATGACTCATCATATGCTCCCCATGGGCCCTGTTTGTCATGTCTATGCCGCCCCATGACTGCCGATGGCAGTGCCTGTGTGTTAGAAAAGTTCGCTTGTACATTACCATTCATGTGTAGGAAGTCATTAACACTGCGTTGTATGGGAAAATTACAATGCCGCTCACAAATTTTCTTTCTCGCGTTGGAAATCGTCTCCACAGTCTCGTATGGTAAATTTACAATACCTCTCAGTGGTATACGGCTGATTAAAATCGGTACGCCAGCATGACATTTTCAATAGAAATGAACCTGGTAAATTTACTGTCATTCGATAATAATTTTCATTTTCAATACACTAAAATTTCATTTCGATATAATAATGATTTCACAGTAGGCGTCATATGAATTTACTGCACCTATTCATTTTCTTCGGATGCACAATAATGATAATTTCACCCAAGTCTATTGATAAAATCGAATGATGTGTCGCTTAAGTGTATATGGCGGTACAGCAATTCTCGAAGTTGCATACTGTTTTTGGATGGTCTTGATAGTAAAATCAGCACCTCATTTTTTTCCAATTTTCGATGACAGTCAAGCCATTACATTAAAAATTTGCTAATACTAGTGCAGGCATTGCCAAAATTACTATACAAAGTTTCGTAATTTTAGTTTCTTAATGCTCAGTAGAATTACATTTGGTGATTACTATTATATTGCAATTGCCCATACTTTTATTAAGGGTCACGTATGCGAATTTTTTCATACAAACAAACCATGGAATTCGATTGGTATATTATGATTTCATATCCCTTCTAGATTGCTTTATTACTGGGTATGAATGAGAATTTTAAGTTCAAAGGGTATTTTAAAATTTCAATCCGATCTAACGATTTTGTTATACTGTCTCATAAATTCATTACGGGAATGTATAGTGGAATAGGGAATTCTGCCCACCAGATAAGAGGTCACATACACATATATATATTTTTATTTTTATTTTTTATTTTGCCAACTTAGACAGTGAACAGGATTTCATCAAATATAGAGGTCACATTATACATGTGTAGAGTTTACTTCATCTGAGAAGACTGAGGAAATTTATCAATTATCTTCTCGGAAAACACGTTGTTTTTATGGATCAACTGTATTGATCTCCTTCAGCATCTTAATCAATTTGAGGACTTTCGGCTCATACGAAGTTTGCTTCCGTTTTTTGGATTTACGTTTACTTCCCTCCAGTGGATTAATGAGCATGATAACTCTGAAATATAAAAAAAAAATCATATGTAATACCACAAGAACTTCAAAATTTCCTAGAAAAACTCGACGACTTCATTTATGTGTAGTGAACCTTGAGGGCAATACCCGATTAATTCGGAGGGTCCCACATAAAATTATCAAAAAAAATTACAGTTGAAAAACATGTAAGTTGTACCACGTAACATCTAGTACTGCAATGCTATGGGTAGATCATTTGGATGGGAAAAATTCCCATAGTGAATTTATGTTGGACCCATCTCATATAGGTGAAGTCTTTATCTTTTTTAAAGTGAAATTGCGTCAATTTCTTAGAAAAACTTTTTTTTTTGCAATTTTTCTTTAAAATGACTTGTAGTCGACATGATTCAAGAATTAATGAGATATTATCAAGAGAATTAGTCGGGAGAATTAGGATTAGTCATATGAATTTTTTGAGATTAATTCACCCGGATTCTACTCGGGTGACTATCGAATTCATTGATGAAATACGGAGGAAGAATTTTACCTTTGAACAAATTCCAGCGTACATTGCAGTTCTTTTGGATACTTGCATCCAAAGATGAAGTAGCAGAGAAATGTGAGCAAGAAACCTTCGAGTATGTTGGCCACTTTCACTCCAAATTGTTTATCCAACAGAATTGAACACGAGGCTCTCTCATCGTAGAGAGAAGTTCCTAGAAATACAAAAAAAAACAGAATCCCGTCAAAAACTTGAATATTTAAAGGAAATTTCACTAGGTCTAGCTGAAGGCCCTTGGGCGATGGCCAGTCACAAACTTCTCGTGACAAACTCCGGTAAAAATAAAATATTATTCTGTACGTACTGCAATAAACAAAAAACAAAGTAAGAAGTAAGAAACTCCAATAGAAATCAAATTTCGAATGTGTAAAATCATCTAAATAATTGTGGATATCAACCATAAATAATTTGGATGTATTTCTACACACTTGTAACTGATATTCCACAGGAAAAATAAAAGACGAAAAAAAATACCATATTCATAATATGTAAATTTTTTTAATTCCTTGCATTTGGAAATTGTTTGTCATGTAATAAATTTCGGTAAATGCGATTTCAAAAATCCCTCTGTAAGGAGTATCACAAAACTAGTGGATTTAGAAGATAATGTCAGAATTTTGTTTTACGTATAAGAAAAAATTATAAAAACCCATACTTCGACATTTCCTGCTGAACTCATCGATCTCAAAGGAATTTATCAAAAATTGTAGACATTTATTGTTATCACATGCATCATTATGTTAGAAGATGAATAGTGAGGAGATCTCAATATGAAATTGAAAGGTAGCAATACACTTATTAATCTTGTATAAATTGCTGTCAATACCTCGTATAATCATTGTAGTGGCTGTATTGTTGATGTTGGCAACAATCTCCTCAATCATAAGGGTACTCTGCGACCAACGAAAATAATATATTTTTTTATGTGAATTTATTGACTAATATTGATTGTGAATGAAATAAATTGAATGTCATCATAACTACCTCCACAATAACATATAAGAAATCCTGGACTTCCTCAAAGTATTGTACAAGCAGGGGGAACATGACAAGTGTCAGTGACAGTTCACTCCTGGTGACCTCGCGGGCTTGACGTTTTGCCTCTTTGATGGTGTTTTTGACAAATTTATCAGGCAATTCTTTACCTCTCTTCTGGGCTGTCATTACTTGGGTCAGATACTCATACTTGCAGAACTTACGAATCTTTGGAGCAGTTTGCAACAGATTACGACTCCAAACTTCCTCCACTTGAGTTCCCAACAAGCGTTGTGCGTGTGACAGCAGTACTGCAGCATTCTTTAGAAATGGCCATTTTTTAAAAAATGATACAGTGAGACCATTCCCTCGGGAACATTCATTTATAACAAGACGCTGAGTTGCATAGGTGTCATTCATCAGCTGTTTAACCTCTTCTCCAATAATGTCAGGTGACGCTTCATGAAGTGTGATCAACAATTTACGTTTAGTTTCTTGAGTGGCAGGGGTTTCACCCTCCTCAAGTAGTGGTTGAAATTCCACACATCCATACTCGTCACGCTTATACGGAATCGGTTGAGGTAAGGGTCTTTGGTTGTTGTGGTCGTCATCTTCGTCATCGGGATCTGCACCCTGCGGTGGCGCTGACCTCTTCGAGCGCTCTCTAGCTTTGCGATAATTTATCGCTGAGTAAATTTGCGCAGACAGGGACTCCCAGCCAGAATCGATGACTACACCATCAATTGCATTTACAAATGTTGCCCGATACTTCGAGCAGATGGTTTTGGCGATCGCCACAGCAGTACCACGCGAAGTGTCTCCATGGATATCAAACACGTAGTGGCAGATATTCCTCACTAGCTCTCGACGTTGATCGTCGGTTGCGAGCTTGTCATCTTTCGCAGCAGCCAACAATGCCGATGGAAAGGCACTCCATAAGTTGCGATCATTTTCAAAGTCAGCTTGGGAGATAATAGTCGATGACGACGAAACTGAAGCAGCAGTACCTACTATGGATAATGTCTTGATGAAAAAAATTTAATTGTTTTATTCGAAAAGGTCAAAAATTAGAATTTTTCAAGTGGGTGGGATTAGGTTTTTTTTTTCTCAATATAGGAAATTGATACTTTAGAGGGGGTAGAGCATTTCTAGGTAAAAATAGATTCTTCTTTTTTGGGTTCAATATTTAATACAAATTAATGGATTGTTCTACCTGATGTAGAGGTTTCTCCAAGTCTAGATGCATAAGAAATTCCTTCCGGTAATATCATGAGTGCCAATGTTGTTGATGCATTACTAGCCATCTCCAGCAATATTCCGTCGTCATCAATTTCTGTGCCATCCTCTTGTAATACCAGCTACGATAACAAAACATTTGTAATTATCATTACCACGATTAAATTATAAAATCACCGAATTGGAATAATTTCAGTAAATGGAGGTTCACGTATGGCAAAATCCTATAGGATATCCTATAGGAAATCGTAGAGCATTTTTTCATACGTGGCATGGCGTACAAACACTCAATGAGTTTTATGAGAAAGACTAAATAACGACGGGATCTTAGATATACATATAAATTAGGGTGTTACATGAGAATTGTTTAGAGGTTGTGACTATTTGGAGAATGATTGCGTTTCTGTGAATGGAATATAAGATGAAGGCTTCAGTTTGTGAGTCCGAGTGGTGATGGGCGGGGGAGGGTAATGGAAGAGATTCTTGTATGCGGCAACGATTATGGATTTTGTATAAGATTTAGAATATATTCAAAGGAATTCCAGCAAATTAGTACCTGATATTTTTCACCGACGAGTTTTAATTTCTCTTTAGCAGTGTTGATCAATTCCGCTGTTGTCGCAGCTCTGACGAAAATCCTTCGGGATTCATCATGGGGAACAATTTTGAATAGTCCCATCGTACTCGCGAAGGTAACAGGAATCTGTAGAGTCAATATGAGGGGTGTGTGTAGTACATAGCAATTGATAATTGAAAATTCCACTACGGACTACTTCAGAGAGCGTGAGTATAACTGTCTTATAAATATTAGAATGGAGTGGATTGAGTGATTGAGTTGTGGGTCAATTATTTGCAATACTGATATATTTTTTGTTGTCATCAATTATTGACAACAGAAAAAACCATTTATTATTATAACAACTTATGTATGCAGACGATGTTATGTTTACAACTTCTTCATGTATTTAAATATGGAATATTTATGGTCGCCCAGTATCCTGCAGAGGACATTGCGGTTTTAGATGTTTACAAATCTCAGTACAGACCTTTTTTAACAAGTCCATAATTTGGTTTAATGTACAAACTATTTCCAGTATTATAAATGTTCAATTTTTCTGTACTGCAAAGTTTGTTACAGTTTATACATGCATATCGCAGGGATTTTCCTAACTGATAACTACGTAATTCTGGAACAAAACGATTTTTTAAAATTTCAACGATGAAATATACTTCGTCGGTCTCTTCATCGTGCCATATTATTATTATACGACCGATTTCAATGTTCCACTGATACGAGACCTGAGATATGAACAAAGCATTGCCTTTCTCATAAGACACCCCTTTTACGATAATAGAAGAACATTGTTGCAGCTTCGGTGACAACTGCTTGGCATCAATAATCTCCCTAATTTTTTCATGGTAATGGTTCACATCAAAGGATTCTCCATTATTTGGAGTTACAATATTTCTGACATCACCACCCATTCGTCAATAACTCTGATACAGTTCATGTTTTACAGCAGCAGTTTTTGTCACATTGATAAAATTTTTAGTGCTGCGTACTACATTTTCAAAAAACGTATGCTTGCTTTCGAAGCGAAGCGTCCACGATCTCATCAGAGGTCCAAACTGTAATATTAAACTTGGATAGTGCTGTAGATAATGGTGTTTAAGGCGCAGTCTTTTGGGCCTTTTCTTCCGCAAACAAATGTAGTCACTGATCAATTGCTGCAAATATCCAAGACAAGACTTATGTATCTCCGGGGCGATTACAATTTCAATTGTATCCGTTAATAATATGATACTGTGCCAAGCTTCGTTCTCAACATCTTCAATTTTATCAATTAAAAACAAAGGTAACAACCTCAAAAAAGTCCATAATTGCCAAGCTGCGCCGGTAATTTTTTTGGCATTTGGAGGAATGGTACAAGGCGTGTCCATACGATCTTCAGTCGAGTACGGGAACGATTCAATTCTTTGATTCAATGTTTTATAAGTGAACCATTTTTGTTTTTTAACAAGAACATCTAAGAAAATTTTGACATCGCAAGTAATAAGACATTCAAAAATATCATGACCAAGACAAGGCGGCAAACCTGGATTGCAAACGTGATAATACGGTAAATTATTAAAGGCTGCATTGAATTTTATTCCGGTTGCATCGAACGTGGCATCATCTACGTTCTCAATCCAATCACTGATCGACGCTTCAGCCGCTTGTTTTTCTTCGATCTTTCTTATTATTTCATTATATGATTCCGGAGTCCGAATTTCATAAATTTAGTTTCGCCATTTTCACCGTAGTATTTATCCCGGGTCACCAAACAATAACGACAAAAGTAAGATGCCGTGCTAAAATTCTCCGTAAATCCGCCAAGGCTGTGACTACCAAGATTGTACCCGCAATAAAGACAACACCACCCTTAATTAATTCCCCCGACGGTAACAATACTCCGTGATTCTGAATTATCTGTAAATCATTTACTATTTTTCCATAGAGTTTTTCCTGCTGAAAATCTACTTCTTTACACAGGGCTACTAATTGGATTGAATTGATGTGAGACCTCATATGTAACGGTACATTTCCGATTAATAAATAAACTGCTAGTATTTTATGTTTTTTCTTGCCTGATCCCAAAGGATTCGCTACCTCGAAACTGTCTTGATAAAGAATGAATCTAAGCGCGTCGGGATTTTCTTGGAAAAATGGATTATTATTATATACAAGACCATCAGTGAAATCAGCAATTATATTATCGTCACGATTATCTACGGCACAATTCCCGTTAGGCCCCCATGATTTGCTATTAATTGAATATCTTATTGTCTTTCCTAGAGGAACATAATGGAATTGTTTGTTAGTGTTGGTACCCTTTGTGAAAGCTATCTGCTCGGGTTCAACATACGGGAATTCTTTCTGATAGAACTTCTGACGTTTATATGTAGTCCCCAAAGTCTCATGACACTCTTTGAATCCATCTCTATTAACCGCTTTCTCGATAATTTCTACTATGTCCGGGATAACTACATTTTTCTCCCTTAATAATAAAAGGAACTGGTTTTGCTTATTAGCAGCGTACAATCTGAACATTTGAGAAGCAATGAATTGAACCGTGGATGACGGAATTCGTAACTGGGTTTCCAATTTTAAGAAAAGCTGGGCCCATTGGATTATGACATCTTTATTGATACTGCATTCGTCGTCAGGAGATTGCTGTACTTCCCTCATATCACGGTCATTATCGCATTCAACACCTGAGTGCATTTCTGAGGTCTGTGCGGTACTATGCTCGTTAGTACAGGATGCATCCTCAACATTCGGAACACATGAAAATGAAGGATAACCACTATGGCATTTCGTTAAGTGACCAGTGAATGACTTTACTTTCATATAAGTGTTCATACACGTACGGTACGGACACTGGATAGCTTGTCCTTCTTTAATATGATGTTTCAGGTGTTTTATTAACGGATGAGAATTATCAAATTGTTTACGGCATAATGTTACAGTGCATGTATATTTGCCCTCACGATCGGCACAGTCCACTCTTGAGGGCCTGTCTATATTAGACGGAAGCAAATGCAAACCGCGTGAACGCGACAAATGCATGCGTAATGATGCCTCATTTTTGAATATCGTCCTACATCTATGGAAACCGCACATAATTTTGAGGGTCAAGCAGGCATGAAGTTTACAATGTCGCAAATAATCGGTCAACACTGCGTTTTCATGTGAACAAAATCTGCAGTAGAACATAATGCCTGTAAGGAATTTACAAATATTTACTGATAAAAACAAAATTGGACCGAAAATACGATTTCCATCATGATTTTATTACAAGTTCTTATATGCGGTACGTGCTTTTCGTCAACGGATGAGTAATTCATTGAACAATTTGTTGCAATTCCAATTTCAAAAATACTTCAAATGTGTGTGTGAAAAAGTGAATACAATATTCGGTAAGATTTCCAACTCACGCAGCTACAATTCGGTAAAGAGAAATTTTTAAATCACTGCGTTTGGCTCGTAGCACGATCACTAAAGGGTTGGTGGTTCCGTGGGATATACAGGGTGTTTCAGAAGTACATGTACATCTGAACACCCTAGGATCAGGAGGTGATTCTGAGCAGAAAAGTCCTCTTGCACTTTTTGATCAGACTCACCCCTAAAAAGTTATTGGCAATGAAGGGTGGGCCAATGGGGAGTGATTTTTAAGCGGGGGCACATCCATGTGATATGCAGCATATGTGTATGTGCCCGCCCCACCATTCTACAAGGCAAAAGAGCGCAACGACTCATTCCTCCGACCCTAACTGTGACTAAGGGATGAAATTTATGCCAACGTATTGAGCATTTAATACACAATGAGTGACAGAAATTTCATCCCTCAGCACCTGTTAGGGAGGGAGGAGTGAATTTTTGAAAGAGCGAAGAGATTGACAAAAAAATTTTTTTTCAAATGAATTCTACAAAGTGCGGAGATTGAAAAAAAAAATTTTTTTTTCAATTCAAAAATTCATTCTTGCGACCCTAACTGCGACTAAGGGATGAAATTTGTGTCACGTATTGAGTATTAAATGCTCAACACGTTGGCATACATTTCATCCCTTAGCACCTGTTAGGGAGGGAGGAGTGAATTTTTTAAAGTGCGAAGAGATGGAAAAAAAATTTTTTTTTCAATTCAAAAATTCATTCTTGCGACCCTAACTGCGACTAAGGGATGAAATTTGTGTCACGTATTGAGTATTAAATGCTCAACACGTTGGCATACATTTCATCCCTTAGCACCTGTTAGGGAGGGAGGAGTGAATTTTTGAAAGAGCGAAGAGATTGCAGAAAAATTTTTTTTTCAAATGAATTCTCCAAAGTGCGGAGATAGAAGAAAAAAATTTTTTGTCAACTCAAAAATTCATTCCTCCGATCCTAACTGCGACTAAGGGATGAAATTTGTGCCAACGTGTTGAGCATTTCATATTCAATAAGTGACACAAATTTTATCCCTTAGGGCCAGTTAGGGAGGGAGGAGTGAATTTTTGAAAGAGCGAAGAGATTGCAGAAAAATTTTTTTTTCAAATGAATTCTCCAAAGTGCGGAGATAGAAGAAAAAAATTTTTTGTCAACTCAAAAATTCATTCCTCCGATCCTAACTGCGACTAAGGGATGAAATTTGTGCCAACGTGTTGAGCATTTCATATTCAATAAGTGACACAAATTTTATCCCTTTGGGCGAGTTAGGGGGGGAGGAGTGAATTTTTTAAAGTGCGAAGAGATGGAAAAAATTTTTTTTTTCAAATGAATTCTCCAAAGTGCGGAGATTTAAAAAAAAATTTTTTTTTCAATTCAAAAATTCATTCTTCCCACCCTAATTGCGACTAAGGGATTAAATTTTTGCCAACGTGTTGAGCATTTAATACTCAATACGAGACACAAATTTCATCCCTTAGCACCTGTTAGGGAGGGAGGAGGGAATTTTTTAAAGTGCGAAGAGATGGAAAAAAAATTTTTTTTTCAAATGAATTCTCCAAAGTGCGGAGATTTAAAAAAAAATTTTTTTTTCAATTCAAAAATTCATTCTTCCCACCCTAATTGCGACTAAGGGATTAAATTTTTGCCAACGTGTTGAGCATTTAATACTCAATGAGAGACACAAATTTCATCCCTTAGCACCTGTTAGGGAG